GGATGGATGGATGGATGGATGGATGGATGGATGGATGGATGGATGGATGGATGGATGGATGGATGGATGGATGGATGGATGGATGGATGGATGGATGGATGGATGGATGGATGGATGGATGGATGGACTTATAGATAAAGTAAACGGATTTCCAAGGTATAAGAGTCCTTGTTTTTACTATTATACTTTAACTCTTTTCTTTATAAATCTTCTTCGTCAAATATAAAGAAGAATTAAACATCTGCCCATGCGTTCTTTGGTCAATTTATAGTTGAAAATCTTAAACACTGATAATTTTAGAAGGATGTTATCGAATATATGTACTTACTCTAGCGCCCAATTCTTTATCCTCGTGGTAAAACAAGGATTGCAGTAAATGCATCGTTGGTTTCTGAACAGATTCTGTGGCGCTGAGCTGGAACTTCTTGTCAACGGTGTGTGTTTTGTCGAATGGTACATGCCAATGACCCTAAAGATACAGAAGTTGAAAACCTTATTGAGATAAAGATTTGCAAAGGACTTATTGATATCTTACTAATATTATCTTATTTTAAATGCGAATATTTGGATGGATGTTTGTTTGAACGTATCTCAAGAACGGCTGTGTCGATCTCTCTGAAATTTGGCATACATGTAGAAAATTGTCTGGAAGAACATATAGACTAGACTATAGGTAATTCAGTTTATTTAATTCCGTTACGTGTGACAGTTAGTACTTAAATAACTATCATTGTTGATGTTTTTTAAACGAACTCAAATAGAATTTTATTGTTTTTTACACTCACAAAAAGAATGAAATTTACCTTGATATAAAATTTTAAATTAAAAATGCTAATCTTGTTTCGATGAATAAAACCTTCATCAAAAATTACCTGGAAGAATATAATATTAAAGAGAGCGGCAGCCGTGTCTGGAGGGAAAGTGTCTTCATCTACCGGATTCTTTATATTGCCACGAGTCTTCTGATCTGCCTGTAACATGAAAATATATATTATACAAATAAGTACTCGTATGTATTACAAGCAAGAAATGACTAATGTTTTATAAGAAACAAAGAACGCATTTATCGACATAAAGGAAAAAGGCAATGTTTATGCAATTGAGGACTTTATTATTTACCTTATTGATTATTATAAACGTTGTCAGATTAGAAAGTATTTAATATTAGGAAACAAACAAATTGAGGATACTCAATACAAAGACAGTGGTAGAGCCCGCTTTAACATCTTCGCACGAATCGGCCCGGCTCGGCCAGTGAAATACCACGACCACAAAGAAGACAGGCGTCAAGTGGAAGCAATTCTACGTTTCGTCTGAAGAGTGTGCGTCCCAGAGGCCTAATTTAGTCCTCTTTCCCTTCCCATCCTTTTTCTTATAAAGAAAGGATGGGAAGTGGAAGTGGACTTTCCGGATGACAGGATGCATGGGAAGGGAAAATAGTTTCTTTCTGTGCATCCCCTTTTCCGTCGATTAAAGGTAGGGAACGCATATGAAATTGTGTATGTCTATGGGCAACGGTCACTTCGCTATTTCAGCGATTTCAGGTGGCCGCTCGATCGTTTGCCACCTTACGATATAAAAAAAGATATGAAAGGCAAGAACTATCTCGAGCGTATACGTCATAATTACAGCTCAGGGAGAGGGGGGTCAGTCGATGTCAGACCTTTGGACCGGCAGCACGTGTCGGTACATAAACGAGTCAAATATAACACAACGAATGTTACGATGATGATTATGGGAGACATTGGTGGTTCCGCTAATGGATAATTGTTGTTTGTCATAATAAAGTGTTACGCGGTATAAAACAGAGTGAAGTACTCTAATCCGCTGTAACTTACCCATTCATTTATAATTTTAGCGGCTTCACTAGGATTAGTAAAGTTCAGAGTCTGTACTTCGCTGTGGTAATCACGTGTAGCGACGGCTGCAAACTCATCCGTCAACTCATAGCGACTCACCACGCACACTTTGTTAGCCATTGTTAGAAACTCGGGATTCATGTCGGTAAACTTCTCGGTCAGAGATTTGTAAGATTCTGTCATCTGGAAAAACAAACATCACTTATAATTAATATATATACCTATTACCTCCGTTCTTCCGGTACTAAAATAAACTTAATAAGTAGTTTAGTTATTTTAAACTATGTTCTACATTTGTGACAAATGTCATAAAGATCCGTTGAGCCGTTCCGGAGATACCTCCTAACATACATCGATCCATCTTAATTTTCCCATCTTTATATAATACATATAAAAAAAGTCGTGTTAGTTACACTATTTATAACTCAAAACGGCTTTACCGATATGGCTGAAAATTGGTGAGGAGGTAGCTTAGAGCCAGGAGACGGACATAGGATATTATTTATTCACTTTTTGTCGAATTTATGCCTTGAAGAGCTGCTTTTTATTTAACTTACTAATATTATAAAGTCCGAATGTTTAGATAGATGTGATGTGGATGGATGGATGGGTGTTTGCAGATATCTCCTGAACTGCTGAACGGATCTCGATTAAATTTAGCATACGTATAGAACATAGTCTGAAAGAACACATAGTCTACACTAATTAAGTTTTTTTTATATATCCACGCGGACGGAGTCGCGGGCGACAGCTAGTTTATACTACATGTAAGATGTAAATAGATGGTCGAAAAGTTATTAATCTTTAGGTGTAGGTATAACTTTGTTTTTTTTTTTCATATTCAGATAATAATAAAATGTACTTAAGGTGCATATGGTCACACAACAATCGGCCATTTTGAACTTTGACACATATAAGGTGATAGTGATAAACAAGATAAAAAACAAAAACATATGACTGCTGATATATTACGTTACTTTTAATGGACAAAATATACAGTGGTTATTTTTGAAATAATCTGCATTTACAACATCGAAAAATATCGAATAATTTAACTTGATAAAACTTACTTTTTTGTAATCGGGTAAACCAAGGAAGTTGACTATTTCCTCTTTGATCTTGCCAGTAGTCCCTGTAGAGTACAGAGAGAGCAGTGTGAGGACGCCCAAGGGAGATGTTATCACATTTTTTTCTTCACTAGAGTCGTATAAATCCTGAAACAAAGAAGAATAGATGGTCTTTATAAAACTAAATGCCAGCAAATTCGTGAACATGAATTGTAATACGTTTTATGTTTCACAACTGATCAGGATATTTGAAGTTTGGACTTAATATGTTACTCTCCTCAATCTTTTGAACTAAAAACAGTTTATTAACAATCACTGTACCACTTTTATTTATATCCTTTCGGACTTTTTGTATATCCTTGAAACTCCAATGTCGTGACCCTTATAGTGGTACATATTGTTGTCTCTGTTTTCTCAAAGGCAGTGAAAGGGATGACAATACGTTATACAAGTACTCCTCCAGTAGGTACTTATATTGACATTTCGTTCCCGCGCAATTAAAGAACAACTTAATTAGTAGCCTTTGTGTTCTTTTAGTCTATGTTCTATATCTATGCAACATTTCAGCAAAATCAATAGTAGTATAGTGCCATAAAACATATCACAAGCTAACGATATAATGTGATTAGCGTGTTATGGTTATAGGTTACCTTTAGCAACCTCATGGACGCCTTGTCAACCGCATTACCCAGCTCCGTCCTCTTGTATTCATGCCCGAAGAAAAAAAATTCATCTTCTTCTACCGCTAACGCAACTGAAACTACACAAAACTAGCGTTACTAAATGTTTAGTTAATAAGAATTCAAGCAGGACATATTAAGAGCTTCAAGTATGCAAGCGTAGATTTATAAATATGACCAGGACCGCATCAAATGAGAGTTCATAGAAAAATCTTTATTTTGTAACGAACAAAATTTACCGATTTTCTACTACATTTTTTGTTCATAAGTGACATCATCTATGGATCAAGTGGAATAAACCGTTCAGTATAGAAAACTTTTTTTATTAAGTTGGTACTCAGACGCAAAATTGTTTTCAATTGTTAATTTATTCGTATTTACTACTACACTTATTATAATATAATACGTTTAGTCACTAAATCTACACTAAGTTATTCAGTTAGCTACAATTTAATAAGTAAATGTTAAAGTTTTTTTTTAATTTAAAATATGCATTTTTCTCTGGCTTTGCTTTAAGAAAATTTATCACGAACAAATATACGAATGGAATATTGTTCAAGATTATTAATATTTAAATATTGTTAATTAATAATAGTTTTAAATAAATACGATTAGGTACATCAAATAACATAATGGAATCTTTTATTCTAAAAATAAATATCAATTTAAGTCTAAAATCATATTTGTAATCCATAACAATATTTTATAGTGCATCTTTGATATCCAGTTTGACATTTAACAACACAAAACAGGTTTGTTATGTACAGAATAAAAAAAAAAACTTACGCGTGACTAGTAGAAGTATTCTCAACATCTCGCGGCCAAGGCTCTACGCTCACTGATCAATTTGCTTCACAATTTGTATGTTCGTATATCTTTTATGTTTATGTTACCGATAGATTATGATTTTAAGCAGTTTCTACACTCACTAGACTTGATTTACACTGACTGATAATGCGAACAGAATAAATTAATGACCTATAAGAGAGAGAGATATATATATATATATATATATATATATATATATATATATATATA